CTTCGTGCTTTTTGGAATGCTTCGTGATTGCTAGGAACTGGGTTGTACGCTAGACTATTCGCGTTACTTCGAAGTGCAGTCGATTCTGATTACCAAAGCCGGCCAACCAGAGTTTACCATTTCATCCTCTAACTTATTTGAGGCCGGAGCCGTACTTCGCTCTCTAGCTAGATTTACTTTCTCTTCGTGTCGGTCGTTTATCAAAGCATTTGACTTTCCGGCTCTGGTTAAAAGATTTGCCAACACAGATTTTCGACGCTGATGGTCAACTCGGAGAAGAAGGCTTAGGTGCACGTTTTGAGCCTGTCAATAATAGATGGTCGTAGTTGCATTTGTAAACTAACTTCAGTAACACACGTCGCCCCTTTTCGCGTCCTATTTATGATATTCCTTTAATTAGTATGGCAAATTGTCTTCAAATATTCGTATAGGAGTTACTTCCCAATTCGAACTAAACCTGAGCAACCACTTCGTGTTTGCGCGTTGATGAACGCATGTTAACTTCCAAAATAACCCCTCAGTCACGAGTTACGGTATCCTAGAGATAACCAAAAGAGCTATGGCGGTCTTTTGAGTGATTCATCAAATGCTGTTCTAGTGACGTTGCGATATTTGGTTTCCAGCTTGTGAGAAAGATGAGGTCTTATAGTAGCACAGCCATTTCAATTTAGATAAGAGCAAATAGGCATTGACGTAGACTGCAGGTTTTTCGTAAATTACAATCACAATCAGTTTGCAAATTGCGAGATCCTGTTCAACTACCGGAGTCTCATCAGAACTTCCTCCAGGTAAGGCGAATGGATACCAGACCAGCAGGGTTATATGTTTACTCTTTTAGCCTGCACGCTTTGTACGTCAGATCAAGTTGGAGGAATACAAGTGGCAGGTGAATGTTAGATGATGACAGCGGACAACATCTGACATTTATTCGCTTCAGATACGGTCCTATGACCGAGTTGTCCAAAGTTCTTTCATAGTGAATCGCCGTCCCGATTGAGATTGAATGTCGCAATCCATAGTGAGCAATTCAAAATGATCTACACCAAACCGAGCCTTTGCTATGCGCTGTGCACTTGGTATCTTTTCGATTCATTATACTGCATGTTAAAAATGTCCATCTAGCCCCAGCGACTAGAGCATTGATAACATTAAGCCAACATGAATTCCAAATGGCCCTTGCATATTCACGTCATTTGGGACTGACCTTGGTAATGATAGTGAAGTGTATTGATATATTTCTCGACAAACGGGCTGAGTTCACAAATAAGAAACGAGCAATTGTAAAGGGAAACTTGATACGGTTCTGTATGATCAGCTGCATCATACGGCAAATTGTAGTCGGTGAACAATCCTGTTTCGGGTACAGTCAAGAGGAATCGTATTCATTGGTACTAGTCTCCTCGTATCCAGTTTCCTGTCAGTTTATTTGGTTGATCGGTTTTCAAAGATGGAATCCAGTGTTGTACATGGTGGGAAACAATGAAATATGACTAACCATGGAGAAAGATTAGCAAGTGAATAGGGAACAAAATTTGCACAATGTGCGACACATTATGGGGCTGACTTTTTATTGGGGCTTTCGGATAACCATAGCAATATTTCACTTTCTACTACTCAGCTAGTTTAATGATGTTGGGCGTCAGTTTAGAAAAATTAGCAAACCCAGATTTCTGTTCACAGCGCCTAAGTCTTGTGCATTCATGCATGGTATATCTTCAGAGTCAGGCTATCCATCAAGAGCTCATAGAATTTGATACCAATTATATTTGAAATGCGAAGTCTTTTGGTTAATAGGGATCAATAGCAAACCATTAAGACGCTTTTATTTGTTATGTGATGGTTGCTTCAGTGAGAGCACTATTAACATCCACCAACCGGACTACGATAATGAACTTCGGGTAAAGCTTAACTGGAGGGGACTACAGCATTCTTTGGCTGCCACCGTAGAAGATGGCCTAGGAAGTATCTCGCAGGCAGTCACAAGCCTATGCAACATCGGAAGTGACGTAGCCATTAGCAATTATTGTTGCTCCAAACTGTAGAAGAGGCCGGTCAAGACAGTCAGATCAAGATAGGCTTTATGCACTTTGGTAGATACATTTTCAGCTGTTTACACTATCATTGCGAATGGGGAAATACTTGAGAGTAAACGAATAAAACAAATACCGTATATTATCGAAGATAAGCCCATCCATGGATATTTAGACAGTATAGCTTTGTAACATTAAATTTGTCCAAAGTCGCAAGTCCTTATATTAGCCGATCCCAAAAAAGCTGCCCTGATGTGTTCAGAGAAGTTTGGAAACAATCGGTTTGTTTCCAAATCTCTCTGAACTCATGACTATTCGATCGGTTCCAAGTATCTTCCAAGAATCTGCGCCGATGTGTTTTTCTGTCATGCTTATTCTCATGTTATTGTTTGTGATGGTGTTTGATTCTGTATACACGCGCATGCTTCTGTTACTGCCATCCGTTGCGAACAGCGTGTGCGATATGCCGAGCATTTCCGCTACAAAAATAATGTGTCTAGTTATAAGCACGCTGCGCGCAGTGCTGGTTAGACATGGTGCAAAAATTGAGGCATTTCAAATTCTCCTTGGAATACCGTCCGTCACTAGCGGGTGGTGCTAAGAGAAGACAAAGGCAGAGGTGTTCAACGAATTTCTGATTGGATTTAAGTTGACTTTTTCAAACTGCGTATAACCTTTTTAAAGGCTGACTCCCCTAATAGAAAATGAAAAATTGTCCAAAATTTATCGGCTTATGTTAGGTAATGTATAGTAACTTGTGTAATGCAAAATCTTTGGGTATCACTACAGCAAACAGCTGTGCCTCATGCTGATAAGTTTCCTTTAGTCTATGATTAATGGTACCAAGTACGGTAGGATATAATTGTGGTGACGTCGTACGATCAAATAAGACTTCGAATTTAGAGCGTGTGGAAGAAACAGATAGCGCTTTCGACTGAGTTCCATCCGGTGGATGAAAAGGGTTGTTTAGAACTTTAAATGAAAAGCTAGTACAAGAGTCTACATGCTTGTTGACAACAAAATCAACAAATGCCGCTCTAGACAGTCTATTGCAACTAGAAATAGGTTTTAACGAACATTAGAACAATCCGTAATCATTTCTAGTAGCCCGGGATAATGGCTAGGGAACAGTAAAGCCAATGAGGCAGAAAGCATGCAGTCAAAAATTGATAGATACGAGGCACGGAAATCATTCTAAGTCTGAGGGCATAAAATATAACCTCCTAACCTTGTCAAAGGTTTCAGTGACATGGGTCAAGCAAGATATGTTTTAAGATTAAAAATACTCCAAGATGTTTGCTAGCTGCTGTCCTGGGTATGAACTGATCACTCACTGTCGGTGTGGTGTAGATGAGAGAGGGAAGGGAAGGACATAAAAGCCCATTTATGGTCGCTGCCATGAGGTCGCATATGATGGTGCACGGTGTCCGTGAGTAGCATTTACAAAGTACGGAGGTTAGCGAATGAAAAAAATAAAGCAATACTCCTCAGATTCCGAGATCGTTGCGGATTTTTCCACTACAGGCAGTCATTTAAGAGTGACGCAAATAGACGATAAGGCAGATTGCTTTAACATAGCGACCACAATGGACTAACACTAGGCACGTGTTAATTTAAAGTAGGATAAATGGGGTATGGGCCTCATGTTTGACTTCTGCCTTAATACAGCATGATTTTCATGGTTTCCGGTAGCTGATTCTTGCAGAGAAAAATAGCCAACTGAACTTTGTATCCAACTATATTTTTGAGAAAATATTAATGCAATGGTATTAAAATGAGGTAACAATTTTGTCCTTAGGGAACAGATTCTCGCATCATTCAGGAATATACAATTACTTAGTTGTCATCTAAAAAGAGAAATCGGTCTTGACGGTGAAATTGCTTAGACATTTTCACTACCTCGTTTCTCATCTAATTTAGGCCAATTTATATTAGTGCATATGTGGTCTGCTGAATGCCGAATGACTTCATGGAGTTTTGTATGGCACGAAAAGTTTCCAAATTGGGTTTAACTAGGATAACCAGTCGCATACTGTCACTTTCGATGATTACTTGCTCCACTCAGAAATCTGTCTTACCATGAAGTAGTTTGAACGTTGCTTAAACTATACAAACTCCCATGCATTCGGTGTAGCAGTCCAACATTTTGGCCCACCTCTATCAACACATATAGTTTAGGAAGGTTCTACTACTACAGATTTACAAAAGAGTAGTAGGGGGATTTGAATGGTAGAAGGAATTCATTACATCTAGACTCAGCAACGTACGGCCGGCTCGTAACTTCCGGAATCGTCATCAATGCGCATTCCGTCTGACCCGCGTAAGGCTGGCACCCACAACTTGACTGTAACTAGCCGTGACTGTTACCAGATGTGAGTTAGCGCCGCTCACTATCCGTTTACTTGCACGTTACTGCATCCGAAGTGCAGGGTACTTCCTCATAATGCGACAAACTCAACAAACATAAGCGGCCAGTTAACTTTGCAATCCTAAGCTGTTGGATCTGCGTAGTGATTACAAAGAAGTAGAAGGGGAAGTTGATTGACATGGGTAGAAAAACAGTGAATGCGGAACGGCGCTCTATCACCTCTATTAACCTAGTCACGGCTTTCGTTACAGCAGCTCAGTGGTTGCAATCACAGACTGGCAACAGTCGAGTCGTGGGCTCCAGCTCCACAGGCTTCAAATGGAATACGCACCGCGAACGATTCCCGAAAGTATGAAACGATCATAGGGTGCTTTTCCATTGCATGACGGCCGTCTGACTTAGTCAAGATGGGACGAATGTCTACATAATACTGTTTTCACTATTTAACTCTGGCCACGTGTTAGTGATAATTATAATTTCGGTGACTAAGACTGTTTACCTATCTATGTCAAGTGACTCTACCACTTAAATCTTCGTCTTGTGCCGTAACCATTGAAATATTCCTAACACACTGCTTTACAATATTCGGCTGTAAATGAACCTTTGTTACCTGTCCCTCCGCGCACTTACAATTTCATTTTTTCCAAAAGAATGTCATTGCACCTTAGGACGGAAGACATCCCTAATGAACCAAAGAACAAGCGCCCAAGGTATAGTCATCAGCAATTCTTTGAGGACCTCTGCTCTGATGTGGTCCGAGAGATTGAGGTGGGAAAACCCGGCATGACGTCTCCTCAGGAGAAAGTAAGAGTGGAAGTTTTAGTGGATCCCAGTATCCTGCCAAACGCATCATCACTAACAATGTCGCTAAGTGGTGATTCACTTGAGCCTGCCGAATGTGAGTTCGTGTAGCAATTACCGAAAGAGTTCTCTGCATGCATTGTATTGTTGCTACCCCGTATGGTTAAATTAGTGAACTTATAATAATAATATTAATAATAATGATAATGTGCTAGCTGTACTCTGTAACGGCGCTTTGCTGCCGCGCGACTACCACCAGTCGCGCGCGGGCTATGTATGCCGCGAGGACGCCCAATCCTACGCGGGTTCGAACCGGGGACTTTATGATTGCAAACTGGGTGCGCAGACCACTCGGCCACCGACCGACGAACTGCTAATACATGATACTGCTCACGTTCCATCCAATGGAGCATGGGCCTGAGAGCGTGGATTGTTTGAGGACAAGGTTACTGTTCTAAGCAGTACCGCGGCATGGTTTTTCAGCCCAGAGTGGAAACAGAAGCAGGCGGGTCAAGAATCGGGTATTCCATCACTACAACACAAAGCAGTAACCGTCAAATTACCACTTATTGGAAGATGTCTCTTGCTAGTGGATGCATACAACAACTTTCGCTTGTCCAAGTCCACCACCCTATTTAATTTCTTCGCTAAGACATGCCATCCCTTGCTCTGGGGAATAGTTAGCAAATGCACCAGCTTTTAGTCTCATTTACTTCAGATTCCAATTTTTACGGATGCCGACTACACCACTTCATTGTTGGAGCGTAACATCGCGGCTATTTGTTCAGCTATGTACCTAGCTATCGTGTTTTCTGTAAGCTGATAATAGCCTTCGCCTCTTAAGCGATGCGAAGGACTGCAATCTGTGGATAATCTTCAAAAAGAGGAAACAAACTTTTCCAGATTTATGACATCAAGATGCTATACATTAAGTATGGATGTACAAACCTACGCTTCCATCCTACATTCTTTTTCGCAAACTTACAAACTATAGAATAGATAATCCCCCTCTGGGACAAACAGGCAAATTCTTCCTTCAAGTGCATCCGGATGTGAGTACTTTGTGCGACCCAATCGAAGTCCAGAGTGTTACATTCTAAAACACCTATTTCTGGTCCTCCTTGGTGGTCTTCCTAGAGCGTTTAAACAATTCAAAACTCCTCAGTGGTAACCCGATAATATGGATATTATCAAGCTAAAGGATGAGCATCTATCGCCTCAAAACGACCTAGATTAAGCCTAGATGCGGTTAGCCGATAACATGATCCATTTCTGCGAGTTGGGAAGAGCGTCAGCGCTTCTGGTGCAGGAGGCTACCAGTCGTTGTATCTAACAGTACGTACTTGATGGCATTATTAGGCGCGTTTTTTCGTTGCAATTGCAGTGTTGTAACGGCTCCTAAATTCAAGACGCAATAGCAAGGAGATGAGATATCGGTGTAAGTGTCAAAGATTGGTGGTACAGTCGATAAAAGCAATGTTTGCGTAACCGAGTAGAGGCCGTCTAAGACGAAGCAGATTTAAGGCAGCTCCCCTTCTGTAGACGCGTACGATTAATTTGCTCTGGCAGGTTCAGTAAGTGACCTTGAAACAAATATCAATAGTTCAAGAAAATATAGCACCACCCGTTAACTGAGTGCTCGCATGCAAGCAACTGTGGCGCCCAAGGAGGATACACTGATGAATCAGGTCTTAGCTCAAGGAATCTGTGGGCTTTAACAAGTAGGCACAGCTGAGCGTCCTTCTGCATAAACAGCATCACTTCAAGCCATTGCAGATTTCGTATTCGGTAGTTCATTTTCACGATGTTCCAGAGATATTGCTCAGTCACAGTTCAGGTAGCGCTGTTTACACTTTGTGGAATTTGGGAAAGACGCGATGTTACGTTTGGTCGGCATTGTTTCCAGTCCCATGTCCCGGACAGGCACTGAACTCTAAGTTGTCAGTCGTTGACACGTGTAGCAGTCGTCCTTCAACATCTGAAGAATCTATTCAATCCTTGTAACTACAGTGCAGTCTTGATGGTAGAATTTTTATCAAGTAGGGAGATATTTGGCATGATTCAGCAATACATATTTGAAATCCTAAGGCTGAGCTCACGCCAGCTCTCATGATACGCATCTTTCCCGTTTGGTTTCCAGTACATATCGTAGCATAACATCTACTGACGTATGCTGTGAAGTGCAGCGTCCTGAACTTTACGCATAGAATACGTTTTTCCGCCAAACTCAGATTCAGAAACGACACCTCTGTGGAAGTCAACAATAAGACACTGCGGGATGGAAATGTGGCGACAGGCCATCGGTTTCTGCGCTGCTGACCATGCTGTCAGCGCATCGGAAATGGATCACGGAATCGGCCATTACGAAAAAGCCTTTGGCTCAAGGCTTCTGAATCAGAACAATGAAGAGACTGCGCCGTATTCGGAACAACCAGGCTTCTCCCGACCTCAAAATCGCGTTAATCCACAGTTTTCTGAAGACGCACCTAACGTGACAGAATTCGAGGCATGTGTGACCAGAGCAGACCTTGTCAATTCGGGTGAGGCGAGCCATTTCGTCGGACAGCTTCATACCACCCTAAGACCCTGCACTCTGGACAAAGATTTCACGGTAGGTGTGTGTTTTACTAGTTGAATGCAGCTGTATTCCAAAGCCAACATTTGATGAAGTATTGTGTCTAGGCATAACATTTTGTCAAAAAACGGCACAAAATTACTTGATATTCCATGATTAGGGTTATGCAGTTATGATACCATAAGTTGACACACAAGATTTTATTTTGTTGCGTTACAGACGGCCACAGAATAAGATGAGGACTTGAAGTTCGGTATATATTAATAACTTAGCTACAATCATCCCTGAGTGCACGTTTTCAGGTAGTCACTCTAAGCGACCATTGATTTTCCCCACACACTTAGTTCTTAATGACACCTTCATAGAAGGCGGGCCAGATGTTTAGGTTTTCTTACTCTATATTTATGATACAATCGATCAAACGAAAATGTAAATTATGTTCTCCTCGGTAACTGGCACTTTTCGAGAGTTGCTCTCCTCCGTGTGGTTCCTTGTAACCAGCTTGGTATTTTTCCGGATGCTGAGTTTCAGGATGAACTTGCATTCATGATGCTTCTTCACCGCAGTTGGGCTAAACCAAATTACACTTAAACTAGGTCTTTTTAAGGTGGATAAATTTCATTCCACTTTATTTGGTTTGTTCCATTCTGTTATTCTGCTGCATATACTGTATCAATGTTGCGCGTGCGGTTCCCTTAATTCGCTATGCTGGTTGTTTGATGTCCCCGGGGTGGCTGCGCATCATGTGAATGTTGACGCGGTGACTACCTGTCTAACACCCACCATCTCGATTATTGGCTCCAGGAGACCGAATCGTTGCTGGGAGGGGACCGGGTGCACGGTCCCTGTGCTAGACTTAAAGAGTGGTTCCATCCAGTGTAGAGCGGACTACGGCCCAGCAACCGCCTTGTGTACGTTTGGTACGCATGATTCCCCACGCAGAAGGACAGGAATGCTGGTGCTGTGCATGCTGAAGGAGTGTGGGCCGACTCCGTTGATGAAACGTGCCTCCCATCCACATGCCTCCCGGTCTGGTTCCCTCGGGTTTATCCTGGATAAAAGGTGTGTGTATGGAGCTGTGGGTGATGCAGTGCAAGCCACCATGGCCCCTCTATAGGCACAGGCGTCTTGGGGCTGTCCAATGGAGGCCATAGTGATAAGCAAATCCGGAACCGGATGCCAGCAGCCGTTTAGCCGGATGGTGGCAATTTGAAGATACCTACTTATTTTCACTTTTAGCAATGACTAGCTAAATTTGGAACATTATGTACGGACCTTACGAGGCAGAATAATTTTTAGTAAAGCTTATCAATAGGTAATGGTATTTTACCCGGGTACACAATTACTACCAGAGGGCAGCATCGACCGGAATGAAAAAGCCCAGATGGCAAGATGGCTGAAGACAAAAGGTAAGGGGAACAAGGTGATGATGAAAAACATGTTTAAAAAACCTTATAAAAAGTATGATAATAAAGCGGAGTGAATAAGAAAATTTGAAACACTTTCTAAGCCATAACCCTGTGTTTTAAGCCAAAGGTACTAAAGATATACCGTTTTTGAATTTGATTCCGTGATGCCTGTCTGCCTGTTTTTTTCCAAGGCCATTTGTGAAACCCAAGAAACAACGTTTGCTAAGAGATAGCGCTTTGTAATACAGTTGCTGAAAGCAGGCACATCAATGAGTATGAACTTCTATTATGCTAATGCAGATAATCAGCATTGCAAACTAGCTTCCGTCTCCAACCCGTCGTTCAGTCTTCGTGCACTGGTTGAACGTGGTTACAGTGGATGCAGTTGAATGGCAAGTTATAAAATAGCGAAGAAGTCCTATTGTATAGCCAAATGCAATTTCTAACGTACATGCCGCCATATTGAATAAGTTCATCACGCGTTTACTCCACAGTGTATTCCGCAAGCCTATCTCCAGCTAATCCCAAACTATGACAGACTGTTCCTCCTTAGAGCTGCCGAAACCGCACTAACCATCCATGTATCTGAGTACATTTTATTCTGCACTTTGACAAGCGTCACCGATGTGCATCGCCGCTTTGATACCGCATGATCCAACTGATGAGAGCCCGTTCAGTATACAATACTTATGCGTTTCGCGCGTAGGCGGACGAGCCTGTATGCCAGTTCGAGGCTCTCCAACTGCGCTCATAAACAGCAACGCGCGATCTTTTACCCTTTTTTACTTGTTATGCCACATGGACATATCAATCGCAGTGGGACTAACCTAACAATATTTTATAATTCTGTTTTACCGCTAAGGATCACTGAGTACCGACCTAGTTCGATTTGTATTCGAATAAGTTACAGCTTTACATACGTCTCTGTCTTCACGTAAGCATCAGTTTCCTGTCGGCACCTCATTCAGCTGCGCAACCATCAGTGAATGTTCAAAGCGTGTGAGAATCGCCTGAAAGCCAGAATGGACTGCCTTAGAGGGTCCCACTGTTGACGCCTAATGAGGCTGAAGAAGCAGATCTTCTTCGCATAGTCCGAGGGTTCAAGTATTTTTGTAACCTAAATACTGTATTAAGACTGAGAAGCATCCGCAATCCACATTCATATGTGTTGAGGTAATTGTGCCTACGCCGTATTTGCTGCTTCACGTGGTTACTATCCAGGCGGTTGTCTGCTTAGTCGATTGCGATATGTAGTCACCTCACTTAGCATTTATACGTACTGGTGATAAGATATTCCGATTCTGAAAGTAGTTGGCTTAAGTAACACACACTGAGCACAGCAGGAATGTATTGATTAATCTCCTTCCTACCGCAGCACTTGATACCGATACCAAGTTGTATAACTCCAATAGAAAATGGAAATGACTTTTGGCCATAAATGTCTGTTGACATCCGGTTGTTTGAGGCACTGCACTCTGTGCCACGAATGCTTCGCATATTTTCTTGAACTGCCCAGTTCCATGAAGTGCGTTAGGTTGCAATGCGGATCCATGCTTATTGGTTCATGGTCAAAATAAGCCAAAAGCCTTAACCTATTTTTGTGACATTATGTGTTGATAGATTAGGAAGCAGACTTGCGTCTACTAAGAGTTGCTGTAAAGAAACTACAATGATTGCTTTGATTGCATCATGCCCATGGGAATTCTCCTGCTGCATCAGATGCCCAGTGCTGCATAATAGGGCAAACAATTTTCTGAAGTCAAGACGCGTTGAGATGTTCATAAGAGAAGTTGATCCTCTGCCTCGACACCGCGTTCCTCTCAGCAGGATGCCTATCGGCCACTGGATTTCGTATGCTCATTCACTGGTTCTTACGTGAACAAAAACGACAGTGCTATGGAGCTGAAAAAATTCACTGTTAAGAGCGTATCATTTCACGAAGCTACGTTCAGTATAATTGATCTGGTCAACACAGACATGAATATATGTATTCCCCATAATAGGACGATGGAGAAACTAACTAAACAAACTAAACGACAGTCTGGCTGTGGCTTCTAGTCCCATTTGGGCCAGATGGAATTCGCACTACTGACGGTTCGCGTAGTGATGAACCAGCCATGCAGTGTTTTCCTAAACCCACAATGGCCATTTGACTGAGTCAACTCCCTCTACTACTTATTGAAATAAATAAATATGTGTAGAAGGTAGAAGTCACGATTAAAATTCACGCGCAATAATGTGCCTCGACGAAAAATCGAACCCCGGTCCACGAATTTCCGGTCCGCTGCTCTACCACTGAGCTACCGAGGGCTGACGATTAGGTGCGCAAATTTTAACACATGATTTCTGCTTGGTGCGCGACGTATTGCCAATAAGCTCACAGTACCTGTCCTGGTGTTGCAGATTAGCTCACTCACCCGTCACTTCCCAACGAAGCGAAGTACCTGTCCTTCCAATGTCCAATGGGCGATGGTAGATTAGTTTTTGGATGTTTGTGAGAAGTGTAAAGTTTGCGGAAATTAGAAGTCACGATTAAACTTCAAGCGCAATAATGTGCGCACCTAATCGTCAGCCCTTTGGTAGCTCAGTGGTAGAGCAGCGGACCGGAAATTCGTAGACCGGAGTTCGATTCCCCTTCGAGGCACATTATTGCGCGTGAATTTTAATCGTGACTTCTACTTTCTACAAACTTTACACTTCTCACAAACATCCAAAAAATAAATATTTGCTTGTTCTTCTTAACAAGTGACTGTCCTCATGAAGGGTACAGATCCAGGGTACAGATTCATATAGTGCATAGCCTCTTGCAGGAAGAATTGCATAGCCCGTAAAGTGCATATCCAAGCGCTCAACAAGTCATCTTTCAGCTTAGGTTCAGTCTTCACACCACGCAGGAGATTTGAAATCGCTGCAAACTTCCCAGTAAGTAGCGGAAAATTGATTACCCTCTCCGAGATTTTATCATTGAAGATCGCATGGCACGCTCCAGTGAATGCAGAGAAGATTGTTGATGGGGATAAAAAGAAAATATGCACTATTAGGTAACCAAAGCCGTGCATATTAACTAGGGCATTTAAATGGAAGAAAGTGTCAAGTTGTCTACTTGTGGGGAGTGCGTGCTACTTAGGATGTAGGAGGTAGGAGGTCCGCCGGGAGGCCGCCGTTGCGGCCTCTTCTATTGTAAACGTCGTTAACGCGAATAGAGGGACAAACAGTAAGCAATCAACAGTTGTCAGCAGGTCAGGACAAACGAGTACCCTACCTTGTAGATCAACTGAAAAGGGACCCAACTATAGTGCCCAGATTGTTGTATGCACGAATGTCCTTGAAGTCACCGCCATCACATTGTGGGATAAGTTATAGGACGACCTAAACCAATGGAACTCCTTGTGCGTGCAGATGAGTGTCAAAGCCAAGCCCATAAATCTATTCCGAATTACTCATCATCCGAACTCCCCACACTTTGGAGAATCCAGACTTATTCGAGTAGCACTAGAATCCTCCACTGACGTAGAAAACGTTTTGCTCTCCGCAAGCACGCTAAAACATGGATCCTGTGGGATACGCATCTAACCTAATGTACCTTGGAGCGCACGACAATCAAAAAGAGACTCCGAAGAGGGGCAC